GTCAGCATTTGAAAAACCCTAACTTAACTGTGGTGCCGTGTCACATACAGAAATTTTTTGATATTTGCAGCCATAGTAAAACAAGGTCTTATATTTTTTATATTTATTTTATATATTTAAATGCCATTTAACAAAGAAAAAATCAACCAAAATGAGTTCGTGTGTCATAGGTTCGCCATCACTGTCATAGAGGAAGAATTCATTTTCATTTTTTTTCCTTTGGTTGGCTTACGGGATGTTTGGTAGTGTGTTATTGAATCTGCTAATCCTAATGTACCACTTAGGAATTTATATTCATATTTATTTTTTGGTTAGGTTTACCTAAAATCCTATGGCAAGCAAAACAAAAATTTTCCCTAAGTAGGTTCTCTCAAACCAAACCAGAAGTCTTTTTTTTAATCTTTGTATTTCTTAATCTCTATATATTTAGTCATAAAACTGCTTCCAGTGTTTGTATAATTTTGATGGCTTAGGACACGGAAGGGGGGTTTTTATATGAAGGAATGGAACAAAAAGAAAAGCCATCTTCCTGTTTCTTATTCCTCTATGTATCATGTGATAATGTCTTTAAGGCCTTTAAAATGTAAAGGAACCTTGGTAACCAAAGCAAATTTTTGCTGTTTTCCTTTCAAATGTGAAGTTCTGCATTTTATTACACTGTCACGAAGAATTAGTCTGCTACCAGTAAATATGTAAGCCACAAAACTTGCTTCTCTGTGCTGCCAAGTACTTCCTGTTTTGTCAGATTTCCATTTAGGGGAAAGAACAGATGAGCCTGAGTTTGATGTTTAAAGCATCTCTCCTGAAATTCAGTTTGGAAGCTGTCCATATATCGAGATTGGGGGTGGGAATGGCACATCCTGTCTACACTTGAGGACGTTTGTCAGAAAGCTTCATTGGTTTTGCTTTATGAAAGAGGGCCGCCAGGAAGAGAGACTCATTAGAAATAATTAGCGTGTGACTTGCCTACGCTATAGCTTTCCTTTAGGCTTTCCATGTCAAATGTGTTTCAGTTTGTGAATGAGTCACTACACAGCCTGTGAAGGAAGAATATGTTCATTTCTAGTAGACTTTTCTCCACAAATATGTAAAACTGCATTCGGCCACATTTACTCTGTGTTCAGTAGGGACAGATGAAAGGTCAAGTGGTGATTAGAAATGGACTACATTGTAAATATAGAATGTCTTTTGCGGAAAGGTTGCAGTAAATGATTTAAAGACTCTTTTGCCACTAAAATAGCGAATAAACAGAACATTTAGTTATAAATGATGAATTCTTTGTCATGTTTTTGTTATATGAACTCAACTTCTAATTAGGTAAGAGAATGTGTCAGTAGAACATAACTTTGAATGTAAACTTTAATCCCCTCCTATTGCTACTAAGGGAATCTTGTGTTGAGGTTATTTTGCAGTCATAGAACCAAGCATTTCTATAAAATTTTCTTTAACCAAATTAGCATAGCCAGCCTTAAGTCAGCTATTTTTCTTTTTTGACCTGTCACTAAAATAAGGAGCTTTTTAATCCCTGACATACAATTTCTTCCTTATTGGCTTGCTGGCATTTTGGAAATTTTCAGAGAACTGATGCTGGTTTATAAGATATTTGAAAGCACCTACTATAAAGTTTCTAACATATACTTTCCCCTTTCATCATCTCAGAATGTGCTCCCATTTCTGAGACATGTCTTTCTTTGAAAATTCAGATTTCCTAAATACTAATCATGACCTACAGTTTCATCCTCCATTTTGATTTATAACAGAAAGTTCATCTGTTGAAACCCTTTAAATAATTGTTTCTGTTGCCATGTTCTCCTTTTAATAACCTGGGTCCAAATCAGTGAATCTCAAATTTTAGTGTATTAATAAGCATTACCTTGGGCTACTTGTTCAAAATACATATTCACTTCAGACCTAGTGAATTCAATCTATGGAGGATTCTTTCACAGGTGGTCTTTGAACCAAATGGATATAGTCCCACTGTCATCTAAATTCTGTTTATAAAGATTTAGTCTTTTTACTTGGTTTCAATCATTGCTATCTCAGAACTTTTTTCCTATTAATCATGGACATCCTTCGTTTTTCTGAATGTCCTAATTGGAGAGCTCATCCTACCAGATCTTCAGGAAACTGTCCAAATTCCTTGTCTTGTCAAATTATCTCCCCCCCTCTTCCCAAAGCACACATTTGTATTTGAGTATGTATATACAATATATGTATATATAATAACACATATACATACTTCTGTTGCACCTTGCCTAGTGATTTTTAAATGCGCCTGTTTTTCCCACTGGGGAAGTAATTTATTTACCTTTTAAAATATTTCCTGGCAGTGTGATACATTGTAGGCATCCAAATGTTTGCTTTGATTTTTTACTGCTATCACTTGGTTCCTGCTTACTCTCAAACCAGTCAGTCTCCTGAAGATAACAGGTTATTGTCTTTACTAGTATACCTCTATAATTCTCATACCATTTCCTTCTTTAAATTATCAGTATTTCCTTGGTGCTATCTTAAGAATAGTTTTCCCATACTGCACACTGGTCTTGACTTTGACTTTTCCTGGAAGTTTTAAAATTATTCCTTCTCATATGGACTGTACAGTTCAGCTTTTTAAATGAATTTTCCTTAAGTTCCACATTATGGTTCCACATATAAAAGTCCAAATCATACACTTCAAACACAAACTCAAGATGTGTAAGGACCCTTGCTCTTCAATGTTTATATATTAACCACATTACACCAGTGTTTACTTTTTTTTTTTTTTAATATATTTTATTGAGTTTTTACAGAGAGGGAAGGAGAGAGATAGAGAGACAGAAACATCGATGAGAGAGAAACATCGACCAGCTGCCTCCTGCACACTCCCCACTGGGGATGTGCCTGCAACCAAGGTACATGCCCTTGACCGGAATCGAACCCGGGACCCTTCAGTCCGCAGGCCGACGCTCTATCCACTGAGCCAAACCGGTTTCGGCCAGTGTTTACTTTTTTAAAGAGCTGTTATTTATGGACTGGAAGGATGCACATTTGGATGGTCAAAGAAGGAACACCAGTTTTATTTGTAATGTGAATTGTCTGAACTTTTACCCATTTAAAAATCAGATTATTATTGAATTTTGAGAATTCTTTGTACATCTTAAACACGTGTCCTTTGTAAAGTTGAGCGATTTGCAGATGTTTTTCCCTAGAATTTTGTCTTTTCATTTTCAGTGTTTTAGGAGAGTAGAAGCTTTTAATTTGGGTGAAATTCAGTTTTTTAGTTTTGATAGAGAACTTTCTTTTAAACCAAATCTTCTGTTTTCTTCTAGAAGCTTTAGTTTGGGGTACATTTTGGCTTATCCTTTGAATTCATTTCTGTATGTAGCACCAAAGTATAGTTTGGCTTTTGGTGTCGGTTTTTGGTTGTCTACCCAATTGTTCCAGTGTCATCTGTGAAAAAGCACTGATCTTCCATTGATTTGTCTCTTTTTTTTCACCATTGTCAAACAATTGACCATATTTTTAAGTCTATTTTAAGACTCCATTCTGTTCCATTAACTATATAATCAGGTGGCAGTCTTTTTATTTTTCGAAAAGTGTTTTGGCTGTTCTAATTCTTTTTCCCATATAAATTTTAGTAATAGCTTGATGATTTCTTACCACTCCCCAACCCCACCCCCCAAAAAGAGCCCATTATGAATTTGATTGCGTTTACATTGAATCCATAAATCAGTTTAGGGAGACTTGACAATACTGAGTCTTCTGATCAGTTTCTGATTAATTCATTTTCTCTCACCATTTTATAATTATCAACATACCTTGCACAAATTTAAACTTATACCTAAGTGTTCCAGTTTATACCATTTTAATGGTATATAATCCTCATTTTATAGATGAGGAAAGAAGTAACTTGCCCAAGGTGAGAATTATTAAATGACAAAGCCAATTTGAAACTTACACTAATCTGGCTTTAATTGTGATGTTACTTTTATTATGAAATTGTTGTGGTTACAGTGGTGGCAGAAAGGAAACCCTAACTTCTTTTAACGAGAAAAATCCCATTATCATGCTTTTATAAAAGAATTTATTCTGCCCTGGCCAGTGTGGCTTAGTTTGTTGACTGTCATGCTATGCACAGGTTTGTCAAGGCACATTTTTTAGGTTTATTGTTATTGATTTCAGAGAGGGAGAGATAGAAACATCAATGATGAGAGAGAAATATTTCATTGTATGTATGTACCACAGCTTTTTTATCTACACATCTATTGATGGGTATTTGTGTTGCTCCCGATCTTGGCTCTTATAAATAATGCTGCAGTGAACATGGGAGTGCATATGTTCTTTCGAATCAGTTTTGAGTTCCTTTCGATATATACCCAGAATTGGTATACCTTATGCTGCAGTTCACTAGTATGAATTATTTCAAATTTTAAAAAATGTGTACCATTAGCATTTGAATGCCTACTATGTGCTCACCAGTTAAGATGAAAAACATGATTTCTTTTCTTGAACAACTCCCATCTATGGGAGGGATAGTGAACACCATAAGAGATGGATTAACATGGCAGTGGTAGAACAAAAGCTTTTACTTGGTTAGGATTGAGTGCTTTTACTTCATGTTTTGGAGTTCCTTTTTTTGTTTTGTTAATTTGACAACTATTTAGTGGGAAACGTAAAGAGCTTTGAGAGGGGGAAATCATTTCAGAAGGCTTTCTTTGGCTGGTGGTCTGATTCCTTAGGAAAGACTACTTAAGAAATAGCCTATGCATGGTGAATTCGATATAGATAAGTAGATATTTTTACAAAATGAGAAAGGAAATGTTAATTTGTCATCTTAATTTGCTCTTCAAGTCTTAATTTGAAGAGTATTTTGTTTTAATCAAGTGTATTGATGGCCCTGGCCGATTTGGCTCAGTGGATAGAGTGTTGGCCTCTGGACTGAAGGGTCCCAGGTTCGATTCCAATCAAGGGCACAAGTGTATTGATGACCTATAATGTGATTGCTCTCATTTATTTTTCAGGTCCCTTTATGAATGATAAACCAAAAGCAAACAGATTACCAGATAAGTGCTTTTATAGTTTAGTTACATTTTATTATTTGTAATCTCTAACCCAAAACTTGATTCTTTAAAACATTTTTCATTTTTCTTTTTTCAGGTACCAGCATCAAGGTTTACAGTAATCAAGGTACTCAGTCTTTTCTGAAAATAAATTTGTAGTCTTGTACAAAGTAAAATATACAAGACTTTCTTTCCTCAGAGGCTAATCTATCTCAACCGTGCATTTACATAGTGACCCTACAATTGAACCTAGATTATTGAACCTATATAAATATATGTATGAAACTCGGTTGTTTTCCTTCCGTAAATAGCTGAAGAGCTGGGTGTACCTGCTTAAGTATTTTTAGATTTGTTTGTTATGGCATCTATACTATTTTTCAGGTGGCTTAGCTGTTCAAATTTAGGTTTCTTTAGAATTACTCTTTTAAAAAAGGTTTTTAGCTATACTGATATGAATAAGAACACATGTACTCACAAGTACAGTAGTAATAGGAGATCCTTATACTGTACTTACTTCGGAAGTTTGGAAAAATAAAGAATGGCTATAGATTGGCTTGGGGATAGTCAGCTTTTATTGTCTCTCTCACTAAATCCAATTTAATACTGTCTAGATGTTTTGCCAAGGCCAACAGTGGTGTCATTCTGAATTAAATGTATGAGTTGTAAAATTAACAAATAATTTTATATAAAAGAAGCCATGGCAGTGACATTGGTTTTGGCTTGTTTGTATAGTAGTTAGCTATTCAAGTATAATGATTTGCTATTTGAACTACACAGATGTTCAAGGTCCAGCAGTACCCTGCTGCTAAACTCCGTGACTAGATTCCTACCTAGGAAAGTATGACAGTTGAATGGAGTGATACTGGCATGAGCCCAATAAAAGGTGTGTACATCTGGATACTTGGCCTGAGTGAGTTCACCTTGTTTCTTCCTGCTGTCAATGCTACTGTTCAGGTTATGACAATTGTTCTTACAGGTCACGATTCTGACTATTCCTCAGTAACGATTCTGCTTACAGAGCACTTCCACAAATATTCTCATTTATTTTTTGGCATAAAATAAGTATTTTTATATTAACTTCACAGATTGAGAAATTTCTTACGTGGGTACGTAAATCCACTCCAATACATTCTTGACTCTCCTGAAACATCTTTCTTGTGTGTGTACACCTAGAGGTTAAAAGTGGCTGATGACCAACAGCCATTTCACTAAATACAAAACTAGGCAATGGCCTATTACCTATTAATTAATTGCCTATTACCTTGATAGGTACTTTTTATACTTGATCTTAACCAAAAGGCCTAGAAGCAATGGTAGGTACTTTTAAAATAAGAAATTTTTAAATAGGTATAAACCTACAATTATTTAGTTGCAAACTAAGTAATTCACAACTTTAGTCAATTATTAAGCAGAACTTTCCCTTCAAAAAAACTACTTGGTTAAAGTTGTTCAGGCTTTCCTTGTTCTGAATGCATTTTGGTAAGACCTATTGCAACAGAACATATGTATATGTCATGACCCAGTAGTTCTACTCTTATGTATCATATTTCCTACAGAAATGCTGTGCAGGTGTACCAAAACTTGTACATGTTCACAGCTGCAATATTCATTATAGTACAGAAACAAAACAAAACTGGAAAGGACGCTGAACTGTCTAGCAACAGAAGTTGAACATATTTACAACTAAATAAATAAGTGCTCAATTAACCCCACCAATTTTATCAAGCAGATATTAAACCAAACTTCAATAATTACAAGACAAAAATTTAATGAAAAATGGTCAGTGGTATTTAATAATTCAAGGAGCTAAATAGTTACATTGGGATTGTATTAGGAATTTAAGATAAATGCTGAAATGTTACATATTATCATCATCTGATTCATCTTCTTCCTTCAAAGATTCCTGTTAAGAGAGAAAGTGTTCAAAATAAATTTCTAATATTATAACAATCTGAATCTAATTAGTCACTTATTAAAAATACTTAATTGAAAAATGAACACTGGTTTAGAATAAGGCACCCAACTTATAAAAAAAAGATAATTATACACCTTAGTCTAACAATCAATTGACTTATTTTTGATAGAATACACACAATATGAAAGTAATGTCCTGAAAACCACTGCCATTTTCACAAAGAATAAAATGGGGGGCAGGGGCTGAGAACCAGGGTAACTTTATCCACATTGAGGATAACGTGGAACATTTCTGTCCTTAGTTCAACTTTTGTTATTTAACCTAAATCAAAATTCTATGCTTATTTCCATGTAGTTTTCATGTAGTGACTTACCTTAGCATATTTCTCTGCCTCTTCCCTTATATCTTTTGGAACAATTTCATGTCTTCCTTTAGTTACTAGAAATTAAGCCATATATTTAAATGAATTAAAAATGAGGACTATATTGTGATTTGCAATACTATGCAATCTACCCAATCCACAGTATGGTCCCTTTAAGGTAAATGTTGTAAAGTTGTACTTTTAATAAAACCAGATGCTTTGAATTCACTTTTGTGTGTTTTTTCCACGTGAGATTAAATCTGCCCAAATTTAGCTTTTATGGAAAGAATGAATTATACTATGATAAATCTTGAGTATTCATTCATGGACAGCATGATTAATTTTTTAAAACTGGCCTTGAAGCTTCATGGTTACACTAAGCTACAAAGAAAAACTTGCTTTCTCGGTAATATTTTTAAAAAACATGAAACGGATGTTTCAAAAGTTAAACTAAATAATTCACAACTTTGGTCAATTATTAAACAGAACTTTCCCTTCAAAAAGACTACTTGGTAAAGTTGTTCAGGCTTTCCTTGTTCTGAATGCATTTTGGTAAGACCTATTGCAACAGAACATATGTATATGTCATGACCCAGTAGTTCTACTCTTATGTATCATATTTCCTACAGAAATGCTGTGCAGGTGTACCAAAACTTGTACATGTTCACAGCTGCAATATTCATTATAGTACAGAAACAAAACAAAACTGGAAAGGACGCTGAACTGTCCAGCAACAGAAGTTGAATAAATTGTGGTATATTTAAACAACAGAACACTATACAGCAAGGCAAGTGAACAAATACTACTTAAAATACACAGCAACCCAAATGACTTACACAAATATAATGTTGAAGAAATCTGGGGTAAAAGAATATATATTGTATCATTCCATGTATATAAAAACTTCAACAGAGAGTTGAAGTTAGGTATTAGAATTTAGGATAGTGGTTACTTTTGGGGAGAAGGTAGAAGGCTGATTTCAAGAAGGCCTAAGGGGTGATATGGGGGCTAGTCTAGTTTTTTAAACAATTTATTTTAGAGCAAGAAACATCGATTTTTGTTCCACTGGCTTATGTATTTATTGGTTGCTTCTTGTATGTGCCCTGACAAGGGACTGAACCCACAACAACCTTGGTGTATCACGGCAATGTTCTAACCAACTGAGCTACCCGTGGAGGGGTTATATGACTGTATCCATATTGTAATAATTCGTCAATTCATTTGTTATTTGTATACATATGTCATTAACAAATTATTTTTTAAAAAGTTCACCCAGTGGTAAATTAGGTTTGATACAACTTGAGAGAATGCATAAAAGTAACTTACTTTCACCAACCCAGCTGAGCTCCAGTTCAAAAGCTTTATCCTTAACTTCATCATGTACTATGTAAATTCTAAAACAGAAAATAGGAAAGTATAACATTTATTTGGTGATCTACAAACACTGTAGTTAATGTACGGTCAGCACAAATTAGAGCACCCATCCCTTATATAAGTATAAAATTATACATATACACATTATACATAATTTCTATTTATGAACACTGGAAAATATAACTAATTACACAGGATTGATAAATACTACAAATGACTCAATATACCTTCAAAATCCATGTTTATCTTGATACGGTGTTTTAGAGACATAACTAAAAAAGATAGCTCATAAGGAATACAAATGGGAAAAACCTCATTACCTGTGTCTTTTCAAGATAATTTGTTTTTTTCCATTAACTGATTATTTTTAAAATAAATTAATTTCTAGTTTGCAATTATTAATGGTCTCTTCTCTCTGCAACTTCTTGGCTGGAATCATTGTAAACCCTTGTCCATTTTCCCCTCCTGGCCTTCAAACTACAATACATGCCAAATTTCAGCAAACAAGGAGGCACTGTCACATAACATTAAAGTAAAAATATCAAAAAATTAAGCATCAGCGCAAAGCTTTCCTATTTTACACTTTCTACAACCTTACACACTTTACTAATCCCTTGCTATAAGAAGTCATCTTAATTTTTCTGAAACTAGTAAAAGGTATGTAGTGCTGCAAAAGGGATGGCTTTTCTGCATGGAACTAATTAGTGTCTGCTGTTACACCTAAACATAAAAGGGCTGATTTCCAGAAGCATTTCTCAATGGAGGAAATTGGGTTTATCATGTTAAACTTATAATGTAATCCAGCCGGCATGGCTCAGTGGTTGAGCGTCAACCTGTGAACCAGTGGGAAGTCATGGTTCGATCCCCAGTGTGGGGCATGCAGGAGGCAGCCAAAAGATGATTCTCATCACTGATGCTTTCCTCTCTCCCTCTGAAATCAATAAAGATGTATTTTTTTAAAAAAATTGTTACAATGTAATTATAATGAAAATTTTTTTAAAGTGGGTTCTGCTTCACAAGTGGAAAGGGAAGGGTATGGTAAAAAAGGACGAATGAGGAATGAGTGATGGACAATTAGCACATTTAAATACTTTCACCATTTTATTTACAAAAACTCAGTTTAAGCAAGATTAAGGGTACTATTTAGTACACTTATTAATAAAGGGCTCTCTAGCCCTAGCTGGTTTGGCTCAGTGGATATAGTGTCGGGCTGCAGACTGAAGGGTCCTGGGTTCAATTCTGGTCAAGTACCTTGGTGTCAGGTTCCCTGGCCCTGGTCAGGGTGAGTAGGAGGCAACCAATTGATGTTTCTCTCTCACATCGATGTTTCTGTCACTCCCTCTCCCCTCCACTCTCTAAAAATCAATGGAAAAATATCTTACAGTGAGGATTAATAACAAAAAATAATAGAAGAGCTCTCTAGGACTTTTTCCCTTGCATATATTATTGAATATAAAACCTAAGACATTTATACAAAGACCTGACTAGACCATGTTCATGTGGAATAGAGATGCTGTGAATTCTCTGGAGTATTGTTTATGACTTTAAAATATGAAAAGTTGACTTCAAACTAACATTTTATTGGACTTTTTGAAATATTCAAATGCTTGCATTCCTTGATCTACAACAGGGCTGGGAACCCTTTTGCTGCCAAGGGCCATTTGGATATTTACACCATCATTCACTTAATATAACTCATTTAATACAATTTATGTTGCTATGAAAAAAGCTCCTAGATTTGAATTTTGAGTCCCGCCTGCAGTTGCCTTGGCAGGGTCAGACCAAATGATTTTGCAGGTCTCATACGGTCCGAGGACCAGAGGTTCCACACCCTGATCTAGAAGAATTATGAATTATGAAGCACTGCCACTCAGGTTTACTGGCTTTGTTATTGCTTACTATTAACTATTACTTAGCAACCTACTCTGTACCTTCAAGCTTTCTTCAATTGTTTTTAAATATCTGAAATACGGCTCTCCTTATCTTCTTAAAAGAACTTTTATACCTGACATTACCGTGCCCAAAGAAACAGGTTATTTAAATGAACCAACTTCATGGATCACCTATAGAAATAATTAGCTGTAAACTGAAAAAGTTTGTGAATTAAAATTACTATTATTGGGGATTTTGACATTTGGGAAGTTGGGAACTATGAAATAAAATCCCCAGAGCTCCACTATATCCTCCTACCCTTGAATTCTGTCACCTAAACTCCAGGAGTTTATTTTGTCACAAGCTATTTTTTTCTCCATTCCATTGTTACTTAAAATATGGATATTGTTTTCCTTAATTCTCCTTCAAATATTAAATTCACCAACAAAACAGCCTTTTTGAACTAATGGTTGTGATAAAGTGAAATATTTTTGTTAATGGTAAGGAAATTTCAACTTACATTTTTGCAACTTCTTTAACAACATCACGACAAGTCATTTCTTTCATCTACAAAAAATAAAATATATATTCAGTTATGAGTTAAAAGAACACTTTCCACTTGTGTAACTATTTTAAGATTCTTTTCACAACCCATGCTCTTGTGATATATCCTCAGATATAAAACCAAGGAAA